GTATAATAGTTTTGTTAAATGTATGCAACAGACAGAAGAAGGCGTGGCAGACCACATAAAGTATATATATTCTTGATTTGGACGACGAGCTGAGTCCGATATAGCCCTGTCCGTCTGTCCGTCCGTCCGTCCGTATGAGCAAAAGGATCTCAGAAGATATAAGAGCTAGAGAGCTGAAATTTGGCATGCATACTCGTGTATACCATAGGCAGTACAAGTTTATCTTATCTTTTCGATAACTCATCCAATAACTTTTTTATCGAAAATAATAGAAAAATCGACATTGTTTTTTCTGCCAAATTTGAACACTCTTAGACCTGGAGACTTCAAATTTGCGTTGTATATAAAGTTAATGGATACAAAGATTTTGTAATTTACAGATTTTGGATACCACGCCCCGTTCGCCCCTAATTTGTAAAAAACGTATTTCAACTACTAGAGACTTGGGCTTTGGAATGTACACACATTTTAACTATTTGATCATGCTCTGAAAGTTTCATTAAGATAGTCTGTCTACAAAAGAAATTATTCGACTAGAATATTTTTGTAATATTGCTCACATTGCAGCGCAGCCCAAGCGCAGCCGCTGCTTACTGTGCAGTTAGCAGGGCGCGTGCTTATAGGTGCATGTGTATGTATGTGTGCAGAAAAGAAGTCCAGAATGATTGGAATATCAGCTTGGAGGGTTCAGGGTATCTCCTAGTCGAGCAGTCTCGACTGGAGCCTTCATAATTGTTTTTTAGTTTTCAGGGTCGAAGGTGACGTGTCGAATGAGACATTTTTTCCACCATACATTTTTATTCCCTGAACCCATTTTCAATGGGAAATCAGGGTATAATGGTTTTGTTGAAATGTATGTAACAGGAAGAAGGAGGCGTGGCAGACCCCACAAAGTATATATATTCTCGATTTCCGAAGATATAAGAGCTAGAGACTTCAATTTTTTTTAAATGTTCGTAATTACAGCGCGGATATCGAGTTTATCATTAAAAATCGATAACTCATCCCGATCTTTTTTATCGATAAAAAACCTTATCGAAAACCAGTTATAAAATTATATATCCTACACCTTTATTGCTAGAGTCTCCAAATTTTTAATGTATGCTTATATGCAATTTATACAATTTCGGTTTTTGTTAAAATTTACCCTCCACCCCTATATTCACCCCCTCACCCTCACATTTGTAAAAGACGTATTTCAAATACTAGAGACTTGTGCTTTGGCAAATACATGCATACCCATGTTATAATCATAATCTTAAAGTTTCATGAAGATCACAAAAAAAGTTATTAAGCAATGGAGTTCTCATAGTAAGCGCACACTGCAGCCCATGCGTGTTTATGCGTGAGTGCTTGTGTGTGTGTGTGTGTGTGTATGTGTGTGTGTATGTGTGTGTGTGTATGCGTTTGTGTGTATGCGTGTGTGTATGTGTATGTGTATGCGTGTGTGTGTGTATGTATGCCTGTGTGTGCGTGCGTGTGTGTGTGCGATTTTCTTGTGTAAGCTGAAAGACGCGTAAAATAAATAGCTATTGCTCCAAGGGTTCAGGGGATCTCGTAGTCGAGCAGTCTCGACGATAGCTTTCTAACTTGTTTTAATTTAATTTATTTTTTTTAATAATTAGTAATTTTACATGAATAAAAGTATTAGAAATGATTTTCAATATATTCAATTTATTAATTACTAGCTGGCCCGGCAAACGTTGTATTGCCCTATCCATTATTTCTAGGTAAAAATTGTTGAAAGCTATGTTGTTCAGGTTGGGATACACTCTGATTAATTTATTAATCTGATTTTCATTCAAGCACCTTGTGGTAAACGACATTCTTCGTTTTTTGGTCAGGTGCAAGAACAAATAATGCGGATGGTTTGCCAACACGTGAGCATGCCACGTACAATTGACCATGAGAAAAACACGCATTTTTTAGATTGAGGCCACAAATAGCCAAAGATTGGCCCTATGATTTGTGGATCATCATGGCGAAGGCAAGACGAATCGGGAATTGAATTCGTTTAAACTCAAAGGGCATATCTGTTGGGATCATCGGAATCCTAGGAATAAGACCTTCCTACATCTTTAAATTTTCCTTTGAGTATCGACGCGTGAATCACATTGATCATCAGTTTTCTTATCACCAAACGCATTCCATTGCACAGTTTTGGTTAGTTTAAATTTCTAAGCATGATAACTACCAAGCCAACCTTCAGTTGTAAATTGTGTGGTGGTAAACCAGGCACATCCAAGGAGTTCAAAAATTCAGTTGGATAATTAGTTCAACAATGCAACTCTCATATTTACAGACAGTTGAAGTCATTTGGAAACAGGCATTGTATTTTTGAGTGTTCGCTAGAAAATGTCGTGATTCTAGTGTTTCGCCATAATGCAGGGAACGCAATGGCTCTGGTGGCGGGACCACTAATGACAATGTCACTTTACCACTAAGGCAAGACAAACCGGGCGTTTCACCAGCAAACTTCAATGCGCCACAATGCTGGCAAACAACGTCCATTGGACCAATGCAAACTAAACGATTCAAGCTATAGTCAATGGTGCAATCATATCGAAACGCTGCTCGATTCAAATAAATCCTTGAACCATTGCTTATTGCCGTTTCACGGGCTGCCTCTCTTTGAGAAGCACGAATTAAGGCTGTGTACTAAAGCGGCGCCTTTCTCGGGCGATTTCTCATTCTTCGTCAGATAATGGACTCGCTATATTCCGATGCCTTATTGCATTATGGGTCCGCCGGGAAAGATTAGATCTTCTAGGACGCGGCATATTTATCAATATCCTAGGTCCGCGTATACCACGCGCATATCGAGCTTTGCCTTAAAAATCGATAACTTGCCCCGTCATTTTGCTATCGATTAAAACCCTTATCGAAAACCAATCAAATTTATATCTGCCACATCTTTAAAGCTAGGGTCGCCAAATTTTAAACATTGATTCACAGTACTTTATAGAGTTTCGGGTTTTGTTTTGTTTTCCTATACGTGTGCACGCATAGATTCAAACTTATTCTAGCATATTCATAGAATCACATAGCGATTGTTGTGCTTGAGTTCTCAAAACTTAGTTTAGGTTAGATTTGCTAGCTGCAGCGCCTGCAGAAGTGAATCTATTCTCGCTGATTATTGAAGACCTTACGCTATGACGCCTTGAGCTCGCTCCAATGAAACTCACTCGCCTATCACGCACTGATTCACTTGTTCGTTAATTAACTTTTTTCACTTTTGTTAATTAACATGGCTAATCAGTTGAGTGTGACAATAAAAGACATTGTTTAAATCTATCTAATGAATACATAAATAAATTTGTATGTATGTATATTAGCGCTAAGATATTTGAGGCAATTTATGGTTACCTCAGTCTCTTTGAACCCTACAAAATGTGTTTTATTAGGTTGGTTCAGGGCAGAATCTAGTCGAGCACTCTCGAGTAGAGTGAAATGAGATAAATTTATTAAATTTTGTTTTGATTTGTTGTTTGCTCCTTTTGGTTTAATCGTCCTCCGGGTATAACGAGCGTCGTTATAACCGTATTCCACTGTGGCTATTTTTATCGCCCAAAAACAAGTACTAGTGTTCTAGTCGAGATATCTTGATGCGAGACACATGCACACGCACAGACACACTCATAAACACGTGGTCTGGCAACTAAATATATTTTCTTTACAAGATTGGGGCGAATTAAAAAAAAACTAGTAAGAAGGATCTAGTCGAGACTGCTCGACTACGAGATACCCTGAACCCTCCAAGCTCATATTCTAATCATTCTGCACTCCACACGTACGTATAAGAACACGCTATGCTATCTGCGCAATAAGCAGTGACTGCGCTTGGGATGTACTGCAGTGTGGGCAATATTATGAGAATTTATTAGTTAAATAATTTCTTATCTCGACGGACAATCTTACTGAAACTTTCAAAGCGTGACTATATGATTAAATTGTGTGAACATTCCAAAGCACACGTCTCTAGTACTTGAAGTACATTTTTTACAAATTGTGGGCGAAAATATGATAAACTGGTACTGCGTATGGTATACACGACTCTACAAGCAAAATTTCAGCTCTCAAGCTCTTATAACTTCTGAGATCTAGGCGTTCATACGGAAAGACGAACAGGGCTTTATCAACTCAGCTCATCGCCCTGATCAAGAATATATATACCTTATGGGGTCTGCGATGATTCCTTCTGCCTGTTACATACTTTTAACTAAAACATTATACCCTGATTTCCACTTTTCAATGGGTTTAGGGTATAAAAAACAGTGTGATCAAGATACTATATATAATCTAATATAAGTTCGCTATCAGCCTCATTGATTGGGTTAACTTAAGATTACGGTTTCTTAAAACGTATCGAATTGGCTTATTTGATAATTTTCATACTTGTATGAATAACACCAGTGAGAAAGCTCTAGTCGAGACTGTTCGATTACGAGATCCCCTGAACCCTTTGAGCAACTCATATTTAAACAATTTTTTTTTGTTTTTTTTTTGCCTACACAAGAAATACACACACACTTACACACTGACAGACACAGGCAGACCCACGCACAAACACACTCGCAGGTATACACACGCACGCACAAATTCGTATTGGCTGCAGCGTGGGCTTACTATGGGGACCTAATTGTTTTATAACATTTCTTGTGGATGGACTATCTTCATGAAACTTCAAATAGTGATTATAACATCAATATGCATACATTTGGCAAAGCACAAGTCTCTAGTATTTGATGTATATAAGGGTGAATTATAAAAAAAATCGAAATTCTATAAAGTACATATAAAGAGTGCTCAAATTAGGCTGGAAAAACAAAGTCGATTTTTCGATTATTCTCGATGAAAAAGTTATCGGATGAGTTATCGAAAAAATTAGATAAACCTGTACTGCCTATGGTATACACGAGTATGCATGCCAAATTTCAGCTCTCTAGCTCTTATATTTTCTGCTACATACTGTTCACAAAACCATTATACCCTGATTTCCCATTTTCGATGAGTTCAGGGTATAAAAAACAAAAATGAGAGTAAGCGTGAATAATCTCTTGGGAATCAGTTGTTAGTGAATCGAACTGAAGTGAGACCCATCATAAAACAGTCGCCAAGTACAATTCAATGTCTCAGTTTTATTGAGATTGCGAATCAATCGACATCGCGAAGGTAATCGTATTAGCAGATATAGATCGAATATATAAGTGAATGCTTGACTAGTTCCCTGTACAAGGTTCGTTCTGGAAGAATATATAGGCGGTGACCTTTGATTCCACGTAAAACAATTAATTGAAAATGAATACGATATTTTTGCTTATATAAAAGACGCGACTTAAAATATTTTCAGCGTTCCCAAAATTGTGCTCTTTAAATTAATTGTATGTACATATAGAATTTAAAAAAATGCTAAACAAGATAATTACAAATATTGTAAAGAAAATAAGTAAACTTGCAGTCAGGCTTTACCGACAAAAAGAATACTCATTCACGGCCGATTTTCCTAGTTGCTATGCCACTAATTGGTATATGTATATATATATACATACGTCATAAATTATTGATTTTGAGCTTTCAACCCGAATATATATTCTCTAGTACTAATAGTGCTCAAAATATAGCAGAATTTGTGGAAAACGCTATATAGCAGACCCCGTACAGAGTGCATATCAAGGCGGCGAGCTAAGTCAATATGGGCATGTGCGTCTGTCCGTTCGTCTCTTCGTATGAGCTCCGAGATCTCAGTAGATATGAGAGCTAAAGACATGAAATTATACATGTACAGTGCCGCTCACTTTAATAGGTTAGAATTTTTGAGAATTAAAAGTATTATATCTCATTAAAGAATACTCATATTTTAATGAAATAAATTTTGTTTTATACAAAAATTAATCAGTTATGACAAGACTCCCCATTTTTGACCAGTTCTTAGAACTTGCAACCGGTAACCTAAATGCAAAATTTGAATTCTTACGCTCAAAAAATGTGAAAATTACAGGGTATTTTTCGATATGCCACGCCCCTAAAAAAGAGTTATCATTATTTTTAAGGCATTGATAGAGGACGCTACCAGTAACTCAACTATCTAGATTTGAAGCTTCTAGCTCTTAAACTGTAGTAGATATAAACTTTTGCGGCTTGCGACGCCCCCTATGGGCGGACATACATCTACTATAAATCGTTGGACTTGGGTGGTCAACCCGCGTAAATATATAAAATTTCTTAAACTTTCTTAAACTGTAGTAGATATAAACTTTTGCGGCTTGTCAGGTCCGATTTGCCAGGTCCGATTTGCCACGACTCTAGTAGGCGTATATATAAAATTATTTCACCCATCAAATCGAAACATCAGCTCACGTGCAAAATTTCAACATTCTAGACTTACAACTTTAGGAGATACAGTTTTATCCGATTTACCACGCCCCCAAGAGGCGGAGATATATCCGCCATAGCTCATGATCTTGGGTGGTCGACGCGGACCTTCATACCAAATTTCAGCTTTCTAGCTCTTCAACTAACATGATTTATGGTATATCGGAAAATGCATTTTCCGATTTGCCACGCCCCTAGTGGGCGGATCAGTTGGCTTCAATAGCGCCGAAATAGACTGCGCTCATACGGACAGACGGACGGACATTGCACAAAACCAATATACTCATTTCACTTTCGTGAATGAGTATAAAATATCGTTTTTTGAATAAATGGCTTTTATATTTGCATGTAAAGTAAAAAATTATATTATTTTTGTAGTGTCTAAAGTGTTTCTTGACAAACTGTATGATTACATATAAAATTTGGTGATAAACTCGATATCCGCGTTATATATATGGACATTTGAAAAAAATTGAAGTCTCTAGCTCCTATATCTTCAGAAATCGACGCGTGCAGACATACGGACAGACAAACGGACAGGACTAAATCGACTCAGTTCGTTGCCCTGATCAAGAATATATTGTATATGCTTTGTGGGGTCTACGCCTCCTTCTGCCTGTTACATACATTTAAAAAAAAACATTATACCCTGATTTATTTTCAATGGGTTAAAGGTATAAAAACGTTAAAACTATTCAAGTTAGCGGCACTGTACATATCCCAATTAAAACTTTCTAGCCATTCAATTAATGTGATCATTGGCATACTGGAAAACGCGTTTTCCGATTGGCTAAGCCCCTAATGGATAGATCGGGATCATTTGTAAATCAATATACTTATTCACTTTTGCAATGTACTAAAATGCTAGTTTGTATAATTTCAGTGACAAATTTTTAATTTTTTAAACATAAACATATATACCTGTCTATTCTACGACTAGATTTACATATAGATATGACAGTGTTTTCAAAATATGTTGGCCGTTTAACGGAAAAATATGAGCAATCTAGACTGCCAAAGCAGGCATTCAGTTATGCCCTAGTGGGTACTGCCCTATTTGCATTAACCGTTAAGGTAACTGTACCATATATCCGAAATGCCCCATGCATTAAACACAAAAATGAAAATGCGGGTGCACTTACACCGGCAGAGATATATGGAATGGACGAAGAATTTAAGCTCGCCGAGGCAGAGAAACTGCTGGTCGAAAAGCAATTGAAACAGAAAAATAAGCAATTGCTTGAACCGGGCTTAAACAAGGAGTTTCTGAAGCAACTCGGCATGCTGGTTAGGATAATGATACCGCAAAAATTATGCTATGAGACTGGGCTTCTAACTGTTCATACATTGTGTCTCATCTCCCGGACATTCCTTAGCATATATGTGGCAGCATTAGAAGGAGCAATCGTAAAGTTTATCGTCCGCAAAGATGTCAAACAGTTCGCACTCGTTTTACTAAAATGGTTTGGCATTGCAATACCTGCGACATTTATCAATTCAATGATACGATTTCTGGAGAGTAAGCTATCATTAGCATTTCGGTAAGTACTTTTATATATGTCTATAATACTAAGGCAAACAAAAATTCTGCTCGCATTTACGCGCAATTTTGAAGAAACATTGATCCTGAGAATATAAGAATACCTCTCTAGATAGCGTTTTTAACATCGTCAATTACATGTGCAGTTATTATTAACATGTGCAGTATTTTGCAAGATTGTATTTGTAAGTAACAAATTTTTCGGAGTCCTTAAGCATGTTCTTGCATCTATTGTGAAATCGTTATGACTTTGCTTGTATTACTGGGAGAACTCATTCAGAATATTTTGATATTCTTTCGAGCAAGCCTGATGTAAGTTTGGTATACATATTATTAATATGCTAGTGAAAAAACGGTCGACATTTCATAATATAGTATTGATCCATGGTCCTCGGTATTAGGTATTGATAAGCAGTGATATCCATCCAAAATGATAACTAAAACTAACTAAAAATGCATAACTAACAATGCATAATATTTATTTAAAGATCTAGAGAACTCTGAACTGAACTTAAAGACAAACTTTAATAATGGTTTGTATTGTAAGAGAACATTTTAAATAATATTCAGATAAACTTTTATGCCTCCATGATAATAGCCAATTTATATGAATGTTCACTATCCTGTTTTATTTTCATAAATTATAATGTGTGTGCATCAGGATAGTTTTTACTCTTTTTTCCTGTCGTACGGATATCTGTTATCGCTTAAAGATATTCGAAAGCCAAAGATAGCTTTAATTAATATATGTACATATATATGCAAATACAACCAGTTTGGCAAGAAAGTGTTTACACACAGGCAAAAAATTTTAATTTTTTGCTTTGAAGCGAAATAAAAACAGTAAGAATATGCATATTATAATTTTTGTTATAAGTAAATGGGTAAATTAAACTATAAACTATATTAGTAAGTAAAAAAAATAACAATATGTTTCCATTAACAAAAGAAAAAAACAACATGAAAACTCTAGTCGAGAGTGCTCCACTAGATACTACGCTGAACCAAACTAATAAAAATGCACATTTAGTATGGTCGCTGCTTACTGCGCAGTTAGCAGAGAGCGTGCTTATACGTACGTGTGGAAGAATGTGTATGTATGTGTGCATAAAAGAAGTGCAGAAGTGCTTAGAGGGTTCAGGGTATCTCCTAGTCGAGCAGTCTCGACTGGAGCCTTCTTACTTGTTGAAACTGCGTTGGCAAAACTGAAATAGATTCACTGCTGCAGCGCTATCTAGCAAAATTAAACCAAACTAACTGTTTATGTGATTCTAAGAATGTGCTAGCTGCTGCACGTGGGTTTGTTAATTGGCCGTAAATTTTATTATTTTTTAACGTCGATTGACTTAACGGAATTTAATGTAACTTTCAGCATATGATCTTTATATTCTATTGAATATTTGACAAATTGAAAAAAAAAAAAATGAAAAATCATTCACAATTAGCTATACTGGCATTTGACTTGAACTTGAAGGTTTTTATTCGATATAAACATAACGGGATGATTTAACGAATTTTAAAGGTAAGCTCGACATCCGCGCTATATATATGGTCATTTTAAATCAAGTGTCTAGCTCTTATAACTTCTGAAATAGACGCGTTCAAACATACGGATAGACGGACAGACAGACAGACGAACAGGGTTAACTCGACTCAGCTCGTCGCCCTGATCAAGATTATATATACTTTATGGGGTCTGCCATGTCTCCTTCTGCCTGTTGCATACATTTAACAAAACTATTATACTCTGATTTCCCATTTTCCATGGGTGCAGGGTATAAAAAACAAAAAAGTAGCAGAAACTAGTTTGTATTTAAAACTAATACTTTTTTGGGCCACCGTTGGCATCTATGACTGCTCCCAATCGTCTATTTATCGATTGGAACAGGTTTCTTACATATCTGTCTGACACTGGGTTATTTTGCCATTCCTCCAAAACAATGGTTTTTCAGCTCAGTTTTATTCTTTGTGGCCACAAAAAGTATTAGTTTTAACTACAAACTAGTTAAAACACTATTGTGTAAACACTTCTTTTTAATTGTTAATGGAAACATATTGTTATTTTTTTATTTATTTACTAATATAGTTTATAGTTTAATTTACCTATTTAAATTTAAAAAATTTGAAAATACATATTCTTATTGTTATACCCTGAACCCATTTTCAATGGGAAATCCGGGTATAATGGTTTTGGTTTTATTTCGCTTCTAAGCAAAAAATTAAAATGTTTTCCCTGTGTGAAACACTTTCCTGTCCATCTGTATGTAGGTATATAAAAAATGATATATACACCTTTGAACAGAACTCGATTGGTGCGTCATTCGTATCGTTTGTACTTCAAGAATCAAAACTACTATCGAGTATCAAATCTAGATGGACGCATCGAAAATGCCGATCACAGGTAATATATACATACATGTCATTTGTATAATGAATATTGTACATAGTTTTTTTTTTTTTTAAATCTTTGTAGACTTACGGAGGATATTTCAGTATTTGCCAGCTCTGTAGCACATTTATATGGCAGTTTGACCAAACCTTGCTTCGATCTAATGTTGATTGGCTTGGCTTTAATGCGCTCCTCCAGAAAGATGAAAGCTAATATCTTATCAGGCAAGTGTTTATCTCATTGCTCTTTTTTATACCCTGAACCCATTGAAAATGGGAAATCAGGGTATAATGGTTTTGATAAAAGTATGTAACAGGAAGAAGGAATCATCGCAGAACCCATAAAGTATATATTCTTGATCACTGCGACGAGCGGAGTCGATATAGCCCTGTCCGTCTGTCCGTCCGTATGAACGCCAAGCTTCAGAAGTTATAAGAGCTAGAGAGGTGGAATTTTGCATGTAGACTCGTGTATACCATACGCAGTACACGTTTATCTAATTTTTTTGGTCGAAGATAATCGATAAATTTCTTTTTTTTTTTTTTTTCAGTATAATTTGAACACTATTAGACCTGGAGATTCAGATTTACTGCGAATATACATTTGATATATACGATGATTTTGTAATTTACACTTCGCTAACTATTTGTAAAACACGATTTTCAAGTACTAGAGATTTGTGCTTTACAATGTACACAGATTACATTACATTATGATCACGTTCTGAAAGTTTCATGAAGATAGTCTTACTAAAAGAGAAATTATTCAAAAAGTAAATTCTCATAATATTGCCCACACTGCAGCGCAGCCCAAGCGCAGTCGCTGCTTACTGCGCAGTTAGCAGAGAGCGTGCTTATACGTACGTGTGGAAGAATGTGTATATATGTGAGCATAAAAGAAATGCAGAATGACTAGAATATCAGCTTTAAGGGTTCGGGGTATCTCCGAGTCTAGCAGTCTCGACTAGAGCCTTCTTATTTGTTTCAAACTAACTTTGTTTATTGATGTACATATTTAAAGGGCCTGCGCTGTCAGTCAGTGTTATTGCACTTACCGCTCATATTTTGCGCGTTGTATCCCCTAAGTTTGGCCAGCTGGTATCGGAGGAAGCAAATCGGTATGGTTATCTAAGGCATATTCATTCACGCATAATTACAAATGCGGAAGAAATCGCATTCTATAGCGGACATAAAGTAAGTAAAAAAATATCTTGAATATATACTAATATATATGTTGTTGTAAAGATGATTGGTCATCTAATTGAATATTTATAAATAGACTGAATACATTATTATTATTATAAATACTTATAAATACTTTTATTATTTAACAATCAGGTGGAGCTACAGCAATTGAGGCAAGCGTATAATCGCCTTGTTAATCAAATGAATAATATATTTAGTCAAAAACTTTGGTTTATAATGCTAGAGCAATTCTTTATGAAATATGTATGGTCCGGCACAGGCATGGTGATGGTTTCTCTGCCAATATTAACAGGAGCAGCTGTATCCACAACGACATCGTCATCCAATAATAAGACCATCGAAAGAACTGAGTCGAGTGTTAGTGAGCGAACCCAATACCTGACAACGTCCAGAAATCTACTGATTTCGGCAGCCGATGCCATAGAGCGTTTAATGTCCTCTTACAAGGAAATTGTAGCATTGGCCGGCTATACCTATCGAGTAGCTGGGATGCTAGACGTTTTCGAAGAGACCGCTCAAGGCATTTACAGCAAAGCCTCGGTAATTGAGAATGAGGAAATAAATGGCATCATTGAGTTTCGTGACGGCAAACCCATTGCAAAGGGACGTATAATATATATCGATGATCCCAGCAACATGTCCATCAGCCTTCGAGCCGTGCCGGTCGTAACACCCAACTGTGATATTGTTGTTCCCAGTTTGACCCTTTGCATTGAACCGGGTTTTCATTTATTGATAACTGGTCCAAATGGCTGTGGCAAGTCCAGCTTGTTTCGCATATTAAGTGGTCTGTGGCCTATCTATGCCGGCGAGCTGCACATTCCCCGCCCTGTGGAAAATAAACCCTGCATGTTTTATATACCCCAAAGACCATATATGTCAATTGGCAGCCTTTGTGATCAAATCATATATCCAGATACTCGTGAAGATATGAAACGAAAGGGTATTACTGAAAATGAGTTGATGAGCATTTTAAAGTTGGTCTGCCTAGAGCATATTGCACAACGGTAAGTACTTATATGTACATAAAACATGTTTATCTTTTCTCAAATTCATACAAATGTTTTCTCCAAACGATTCATACAAATGTTTTTTCCAAACGATTTGTACACCCTGAACACATTGAAAAAATGCAGTTTGGACTATAATATTTTCGTTTAAGTGGGCAAAAATTTATGAAGTCTGCCTTCATAAATTTATTGATCAGCCGATTGACATCATTTGTCTACCTACCCGTCTGCCGCAAGCCAAATATTTTAAGCTCGTGTCACATACGTCAATTTATAGTACTTCGATTTTCATACCCTGAACTCATTGAAAATGGGAAATCGGTATAATGCTTTTGTGAAAAGTATGTAACAGACGGAAGGAATCATTGTAGACCCCATAAAGTATATTCTTGATCAGGGCGACGAGCTATGTCAATATAGTCTGAGTCTGTCCATCCGTCCGTCATGCATACTCCTGTATACCATACGCAGTACGAGTTTATCATATTTTTTTTATAACTCATCTGATTTATTTTTTAGGGTGATGTCAGAGTGGCCGCGATAAGCGATACGATGCTATGAGCGATAATTATCGCAGCGATCTGCAAAGCGATGGCATGTCAGAGTGAAGGAGAGAAATATTGCTTGAATTGCCAAAAAGAATATATTTTACCTACTAACCAACGGTAATTTAAGCTCAGCACGTAAGGAAAACACACTTTATCATGCGATTAAGCGAGAAAGCGATTCAGGAATGCTTTCTCGCAACTCGCTTAACTTCTCGCTTTGGGTCTCTTCTCGCTTCGCTTGCACTCTGACATGTTTTAAGCGATTACATGTAAATCTGCATGTAGAGCTTTCTCGCTTATATTCGCTCCATATTATCGCATCGCTTATCGCGGCCACTCTGACATCAGGCTCATTCAAAATAATCGATCAATTTTTTTCGTTTTTTAGCGTAATTTAAACACTATTAGATCTGGATTCTTCACATTTTTAGTGTATATATTCATGTGATAAATACAATGATTTTGTAATTTACAGATTTTGCATACCACGCTCCCTTTTCCAAAAACGATTTTCAAGTACTCGAGACTTGTGCTTTGGAATATACACATAATTTAACATGTACAGTGGCTAACAGATTAGTTCACATCTTATTTTGTTTAATATGAATGGTAATCCATTTATGGAAACTAAGTTTCCAACTCCCGAGGGCGCCATATATGGGTGCATATATATGAGTCGGATTGGATGCGATATGTTTGGCGCCCATCAAATACCGAGCTCCAAGATCAGAACCTAAAACTAACTAGCTATGAGCTATGGCGGTGACAGTGTCGTGGCGTCCTCGGGAGTTGGGAACTTAGTTTCCATAGATGGTAATATGAACAAATATATGTACCTTTTTAAAGGAGAATTCTCTCCAAAGTGCCGAAAAACTTGGACTAGAAGGGCGATCCCGATTTTATCAGGCTAATGACTAAAAACAATTATCGGGTATTGTCCAGTCCTGGTTGATCTGGAACTGTCCAAATGTGGTCATTCCCTAACCCAGTGGTCATACCTAAACCTAAAAATTTGTGGGCAAAATTGAGCGTGGACATTCGGAAAAGGTCAATATCCAATAAAAATGACCTCAAGCACGAAATAAGCTGTGAAATGGAAAAGCCAGTTATTTTAGTTTGTTTAATTTTAAATGTTATTGGTTAAAACAAAAAAATAATGAAGTGCCTTAATACATAATGATTGACTGATAAATAAAACCCCATTTAAATTTTAGATTAGCGGGAATCCGGCTTTAAAATTTTACTGTACCGCTGCACGAAATAAGCCACTGTACGTTCTGATAGTGTCAGTTCTGAAAGATAGTCCTACTATAAGAGAAATTATTCAAGAAATAAATTCTGATTTTATTGCCCACACTGCGGCCCAAGTACAATCGCTGCGGCAGTTAGCGGAGCGTGTATTTATAGGTGCGTGTGGATGCAGGTATTTGTATGTGTGCATAAAAGAAGTCCAGAATGACTAGAATATGAGCTTGCAGGGTTCAGGGTATCTTCCAGTCGAGCAGTCTCGACTAGACCACTATTGGCATGCGCAAGTTTAGAAATGCTATCATTATTAAAATATAATCATTATTTAATTAGTAATTTAAACGAAATGCAGAAAATTCTTTTATAATAATACTGATACAACTTTTATACTTGTAGTGACAGTTTCGATGTGGTGCGTGATTGGAAAGACATTCTCTCCGGAGGTGAAAAACAACGAATGGCTGTCGCTCGTCTATTTTATCACAAGTATTAAATAAATAAATAGGTATTATATTTGAGTAATCGAATATCTTTAAAGGCCACGGTATGCTCTTCTTGACGAATGCACTAGTGCGGTTTCAATAGACGTGGAAAGCTCAATATATGAAGTTGCTAAGAGCATGGGCATTACGCTTTTGACAATCACCCATAGACCAACCCTATGGTAAGCCGAAATTTATAAATATAATTACCTTGCCATACACTATACATCTATATATATAAAAGAGAGTTGTGTAAAAGTGTCTTAGCACTTATAACTCGAGATCTGCTGGACCAATTTTCATGGTTTTTGATTTGTTGGATTTGTCTCCGCCACGAGGCGGATCAGTAGATCTTTAAAATAATGAAAAAAAAAGACGAATACTTGAAAAACGCGGTTTTTTCCCTAAAGATTCAAATTTCCATTTATACTCAGTAGCCTTGATAACAGTGACAGTTTCGGTCCTGTATAGAAGTAAATAAACAAATGTAGTCAGTCAGTCTACGGCACAGCCTCGAGCAGACCTGACTATTCAACAAAAAAAAAAAAAAAAAGACTATTCAAAAAAAAAAAAAAAAAAAAATATTCAACAAAAAAAAAAATAAAAAAGACTATTCAAAAAAAAAAAATTAATAAACAAAAAAAAATTTTTTTTTCCAAATCAAAAAGAAAAATATTTCAAATCAAAAATCTGCAAAAATTCAAAAAAATCAAAAGACCTGACTGTTCAAAAAATAAATAAAAAATTCAAAATTCGAAATTAAAAAAAAAAATAAGTTAATTATTAAAAAGTGTATTTTTGGCTTTTTATATTTTTGGACTTTTAAAGTTTATAAATATTTCAAATAAAAAATCTGCAAAAATGAACAAAAAAATCAAAAGATTAAAACCTGACTAATCAAAAATAAATAAAAAATTCAAAATTCGAAATTAAAAAAAAAAAGTTAATTATTAAAAAGTGTATTTTTGGCTTTTTATATTTTTGGACTTTTAAACTTTATAAATAATAATTGTGCGCGTGCGTACAAAAGCTAAATATCTCGAATGTTCAGGTATTTGTTTGTCTCAAACATAAATTTGTGTAAATTATTTATATTTATATTTCTCGATTGTTTTATATGGTTTTGTGCGAGGGCAGTATTACTATTAATAAAAATACCGCGTCCTAGAAGATCTAATCTTTCCCGGCGGACCCATAATGCAATTAGGAAACGGAATATCGCGAGTCAATTATCTGACGAAGATCGAGAAATCGCCCGAGAAAGGCTCCGCGTTAGTACCCAGCAAAGAAGGGCCTTAATTCGTGCTTCTCAAAGAGAGGCAGCCCGTGAAATGGTAATAAGAAATGGTTCAAGGATTGATTTGAATCAAGAAGCGTTTCGATATGATTGCACCATTGACTATAGCTTGAATCGTTTAGTTTGCATTGGTCCAATGGACGTTGTTTGCCAGCATTGTGGCGCATTGAAGTTTGCTGGTGAAACGCCCGGTTTGTGCTGCCTTAGTGGTAAAGTGACATTGCCATTAGTGGTCCCGCCACCAGAGCCATTGCGTTCCCTACTTTTCTAGCGAACACTCCAAAATACAATGTCTGTTTCCAATTCGGGGCAGAGACAAATCCAACAAATCAAAAACCATGAAAATTGGTGCAGCAGATCTCGAATTATAAGTTTTGTAACAAACTCTACTTTGTTATATATATATAGAGACTGTTAGGCGGTACGAAGTTCGCCGGGACAACTAGTATATTATATTTGTATATCTCAGGAAATTTCATACACATATTCTGGAATTCGATGGCCTGGGAAGCTGGAAGTTTAGGCAAATGGATACTAATGAAAAGCAAAAGGAAAAATTCGTTCATTAATATCTATATTGAGTATTAATAAGTATATTGTGAATAAAGGCTAAATATATATGTTTATAGATCTGTAAAGAATTTGTTATTTTTTTTTTTTTAATCAATTAACTATTCAAACATTAAACGTATTATAAATGATTCTTGCACTTTAGTTTTTTAAGGGAAATAAATTAAAAGCATTAACTAACGAGTAGTGTAAAAGATGGATTGGCTTTTATATACATGTCTATCTATTAATTGATAATAAAAAAGAAATAAATCAAGACTTTTATCTAATATTTTTTGCGTTTTCATAAAAAAACAAGTCAGAACGTTGAATATGAACACAGAATACTCATTCACAGTCCGTTTTCCGATTTGTCACGCCCACAATTGGTATATATTTATACTTTTTGTGCAAATTAATAGAGATACTAGTAGAGATACAGCTACAGTCGCTAAGATTTGAATTTATATCTTTAAAATTGTAGATATTCCACGGCTCCTAAGAGGCGCAACAATTATTTTTGGGTCATCGATAGTATCGATCAACGATCTGTAATTCAATAATCTAAATTTGAAGCTTCTAGCTTTTAAACTGTAGTATATATAAGCTCTTGCGATTTGCTTTGTATAAAAATCGATGTTTCTGTGTATTTTCGAAAGGTATTTGCGAAGATACGTCTATGGCGGAAAAACATATTACGGATCGCGATTCAAATAAGAACTTATAACTATAATGAATTAAGAATAAAATATTATTTCATACAATTATTTATTTTTAGATTCGTTTAATATACAATAAGATACACAATAACTTCCTAAGTAAAGTAGTTTTCATATTATTTTTTTGTTTCTGCATTATTCAAAAACATCAACCATGCGTAGGAAATTCCACATATGTTAATATATTTACATATATCATACATCGTGTAATTTATCTAATTTCCTATGTATGTAGACAAAAGTCTATTGTTATTGTCCGGAACTCACAACTAGAGATTTATTGTCAATTGTTGTCATATATTCTTCAAGTACATATTTGTATTTATGTATGCAGATAGGTTATACTTATTAGCTACTAGTACACGATGTCTATACAATAGAGTTCAATAGCTAAACAACACCATTTAAAAGTTTCTTGAGCCAAAGTTTGAATTTTTAGAATATATAAGTAAATAGGTAGCACAAGTACTTTGGATAAGTTCGATATGTTAAATTGACATTTATTTGATAGATTTATATAATATATATATATATATATATATATATAGAATAGTAAAATGTGGAGTACAGCCACGCTCTCTATGCAATATTTTAATTGTGTTAGCTTTTTCCTTTTACTGTTCGGTAGCGAAAATGATTAATGTGGACTAATTGTAATTTGTAGCTGTTTTAATTTGTCTCATTCAATTGATTGTTGTTTATTATATTTAGTTTAAAAGTTGAAGGACAGGCACAGTTAGATCATTTATTTGTATGTATATAGGTATTACCATACAAGATATCGGTGTAGATGACTGTTACTAGTTAGAAAGGTTAAATTATAAAAACAACATTTGTCGTTGATATTTCTATTGGGTCCTTTGCAGAACCAGATTTCAAGGATTATGTTCTAGATTCGTACAAAACCCTAATAGAAATTAATCATACCATGATCTTTTGTGTTTTCTTTTTAATATATCAAGGCGTACTTTTAATCCACTTTCTTAGGTAGCTCTTGCATATTGATGATTGTTTTATATTGGAAGCATTTAATTAATTCCAAAGAGGAATTTAAAATAGATATGAATATATATAATATGAATATATAATCATAATCATTTTCATTCACAGCTCCCATTAAAATAAAATCAAAATTATCTTTTTTAATAGTTCAGATTTCAACTTACGACAATTATAACTTTAAGATATGTGAACATTATTTATACAGATTTCATGGTTATATATATATATATACATTTTGTAGAATTTGGAAAATATGAAATAAAAACAAGATAAATTCTTGATAGAATGTATTTCAGTATGCATTTGGGTATTGAATTGACAACCGATTTTCCTGCCATAAGTATATTGAAGCTATAAATATTTTAAAATAAATATTTTATGTTTTGTATTTACATGGTCACACTAAATTAAAACAATAATATAATTAGTAAAATGTTTTTTAAATATACTTCTGATTAATTATTGTCACAATATATTTAATAAAAAATAATTTAATACGCGTTATTGTCGAAATCGAAGTCGTGCTGATTAGATTTTTGAGTTAATCCAACCTCATCGAATAATTTATCATTATTAAAATAAAGCAAGCCATTGCTACCGGGCCTCGTGTAATATTCGATCGAAGTTAATGGACTTAAATAATTCTCATTTGAACCTTGGCCCACTTTTTGAAGCTCAGGCTGGATCCCAAACTGAAAACCATTCATTATTCGAGTATTTCGCCGAAAATATTCATTTGGCGAATACTGGAAAAAGAAAAAATATATAAGCATTTTGATATGCATTCATATACAAACATATTACATACACATCTAATCGATTCATTTGCAATGTGATATCTATTTGCTTACATGCATATATACATAAGTATTATAATTTCTAAAACGGAGCATGGCCAGAATTTGTGGATCTCCGGCTTGCTTTTGTATATTCATATGAGTGACAATTTACCTGCTTGAAAAGCGAACGATTCCTTTCCCTAAAATGAGATTGTCGAACGGGATATGTACGTGGTATACCGATAGATGATGTATGTTCACTCTCTGCTGAATCACCTGCATTAATTTCAGTAGCTGGCATTTTTAAACGAGAATATGTTTTTGGTCGGCCGGCGGCAACGTTACCAGTAAAACGGGATTCCTTTCGCGTTTGTCCAGTAGGCAAAAACCTGTATGCACTTCCAACACGGCGGGTTGACGCTCGAGAGCCACTATTACTATGCCCAACATTTTTATTACTTGCATCTAAATTTTGTACATTTGCAATTGAGATTCGATCGCCATTCACATACTGATTGCTGCTACTATCAGGGCTGCGGTTCTCATCCATTAGAAGGGAATCTCCGGGATTGTTAAAAGATGACTTGTAAGATGATTGAACGCTAATCAAGACGTAATATGTTAAAGTAATAATATATATTAGCAGTATATTCCGCAAATAACTGTCTTTATCCCTGACCCATATGAAGAAAGTCCATCTACAAACAAGTAAGAAAGCTCTAGTCGAGACTGCTCGACTACGAGATCTCCTGAACCCTTCGAACAACTGATATTACAATAATTCTTTGCGTTTTTCTGCTTACACAATAAATACACTCACAGACAAATGTAGGCAAGCACGCATAAACACACATGGGCTGCAGTGGAGGCTTACTATGGGAATTTAATTGTTTAATAGCTTTTAGTGTGGATGTACTTTTTTCAGAAACTTTCAGATTATAAATATAACATAGATATGCATGTATCGTCAAAGCACAAGTCTCTAATATTTTAAATACGGTTTTTACAAAGATGGGTGAGTGAGGGTGGGGGGTACATTTTGACAAAAATCGAAATTCTATAAAGTACATATAAATCCATATTTAAAATTTGGTGACTCTAGCTTTAAAGGTGTAGCAGATATAAATTTATTACTTTTTTTCGATAAGGTTTTAATCGATAACAAAATAACGGGGCAAATTATCGATTTGTAAAGCAAAACTCGATATGCGCGTGGTACACACGGACCTAGGAAAAAAATTTTCAAGATAGAGCAAGCTAGAGAAGCTCTTATATCTTCTGACGGACAGGCCGACGGACGGACAGACGGACACAGGTAAGTCGACTCAGCTCGTCGCACTGATCAAGAATATATTCACTTAATAGGGTCTGCCACGCCGCCTTCTGTCTGTTACATACTTTTAAATAAATGATTATAACCTGATTTCCCATTTTCAATGGGTTCAGGGTATAAAAAGTTATTGAACAATAAAATTCCCTACTGTGGTAGCTCAAGCTGCATCCCATGCGTATTTATGCGTGCGAGCCTATATGTGTCTGAAAAGTAGCATAGAATTATGGAACTATTTGTTCCTAGAAGGGTTCAAGGCAGTCTTACTAAGAGAGCAAAACATTAACGCTGTTATTCAAAAAGTTTTAGCGTGTTCAGACGCATACGTTTTGCTTTCTGTTTTTAGTTATTCACGAAAGTGAAATGAGTGTATTGGACCTGACATTTTTTTGAAGCTTGAAATTCTAAACATATACTCGTGTATAATAAATAAATTTTTGGTATGCCAGAAATCATATTAGTTGAAGAGCTAGAAAGCTGAAAACTATATTTGTAATAGAATGCTGACATTTTGCATGTTAGTTATAAAAATCGACTCAGCACGTCGCACTTCAAGGACAAGTAAGCATAAAGGAAATGTCAAATTGTACTGATTACAAATTTCATATAAATTAAATAGGACTCACGGAGAAGGATTTTAAATAAATTAAGCTTTTAAAGGAAAAATAATCATACTTTTGACCATTAGCAATTTCCATACAAATTTAATAGGACTCACTAAATGAATTCAGCTTTCAAAGGAAAAATAATCATACTTTTGACCATTAGCAATTTCCTTGAGCACAGCAGCTCGAGCTGCCAATTCCTCCGCTCGACGCTGTTGTGTCAATTCCTTAGCACGTTCTGTCCAGATGAGCTCCTTCAGTTTTTGAAAGCTGCCATGTACAGCGACTGAGTTATGACTTCCAGCCACATTATTGGCTACCAAGTTACTTGACACGCCCACATATCTATTTTTACTGGATCTGCGTGGAGAGGACCCCGCTGCCCCAGTGCCAGCTCCAGCTCCAACACCGATTCCAGAGGGACGTACTTCACCACCATATAAGCGCGCCTGGCTAGCTCCGTTTGGATTTCCATCAAGATGTCGTGGAAGTTGTTCAAATGAAATACGTTGTGGTACGATGGGCTCTCGACTTAAGACACGTCCAAATACTGGGGATCTGGAACGTTCCCGTGTACCCATGCGAGTTCTGCTATAAGTTTAGATCATTAGTTTACTTGGAACATATTTGGGTCTAAGAAACTTACGAGCCAAGCCGAGAATTGGAGTAGATGGGTTCCCAAACATTGAATGTGAAGGGATCCCGATATGTGGGTATTTCATTTGTCATTTCAGCTGCACGGGATTGTCTCTTGGAAAATCTATGATAAGTACTTAATTATAATTCTATATATAAATATATATGTATATCGAAACTCACATCCACATAGCGCGTAGCTGTTCACATGATGGTTCCTGCGAACTCATTGAGAATGTCTTTGGAACAAAGACTTCGCCCACGGCTCGAACACCTGCGTCCTCTACTAAGCCCGTATTAACATTCGACGTTGAGTCCGCGTCCTTGACTAACTTATTGCCGTCTGCACTTCTCGGCACTCCATAGTCATGGCTACGTGCATTTAAAAAGATGCACTTGCCTTGTGTTAGGTAGAGCAGAATTAAAAATATATGTATGTGTATGTATTTATTCTGCAAAGATTTAATAATATTGAATAATTTTATTTATTTATTTACATATTTTGGTTTTACACACTCAAATATAATTATGTTCTATACAAAGAAGAAGGCTTTAGTCGAGACTGCTGGACTAGGAGATACCCTGAACTAGAGATGGGCACGGGCCGGGTTTTTATCGGGTACCCGTGGGCAACTGCGGTTACCCGTGGAAAAATCATATTTTGGAGACCGTCAAAAGCATGATGGTTAAAATTTGAGATATGCAAAATGATTCATTTGAGGACGCGAGAATTGAAAACTCTCCGACAAATTTGAATCTTGAATTTCTAGAGTTTTTCACTTAGAAATTGATAAATATTATGCCACACGCTATAATTCAAACTTGTTAATCTTAAATTTTTGGCAGGAGGCAACGGACCTTAAATTGTGGAAAAAATATTTTATGTATTCCGGTAAGCTGTGCAACAAGCGAGCGAGTATTCTCTTCTTCTGGAAAAATTTTAAATGAAAGGCGAACAAGGCTATTAAGCGCAAATCTTGATATGCTCCTTTTTATACCCTGAACCCTTTGAAAATGGGAAATCAGGGTATAATGGTTTTGTTAAAAGTATGTAACAGGCAGAAGGAGGCGTGGCAGACCCCACAAAGTATATATATTCTTGATCAGTGCGACGAGCTGAGTCGATTTGGCCTTGTCCGTCCGTCTGTCTATCTGTCCGTATGAACGCAATCTATTTCGGCTCTATTGAAGCTAGAGACTTGAAGTTTGGAACATATACTCGTGCATATCTCCGATTTATAAAGTGTTAAAATTTTCCCGATCCGCCCACTAGGGGCGTGGAAAATCGGAAAATGCATTTTTCGATATGCCAGAAATCATATTAATTGAAGAGCTAGAAAGCTGAAATTTGGTATGTAGGTCCGCGTCGACCACCCGAGACCACGAGCTATGACGGATATATCTACGCCCATTGGGGGCGTGAATCGGATAAAACTGTATCTCCTAAAGTTGTAAACCTAGAATGCTGAAATTTTGCACGTCAGCTAATGTTATGATTCTATAGAGTCTAAAGATAAAATTATAAGTCTACGCCCATTAAGGGCGTGGCAAATCGGACCTGAAGATATAGTGATTTTTTAAACTCTGCTCTATTTTGGACACTTGATGCCAGAGACCTCAAATTTTGTATATATACTCGGGCTGATCACCCAAAACCAAAAAGCTTTGTCGGATATATGTCCGCCCACAGGGGGCGTGGCAAACCGCAATAAAATTTCAAATTTAGAGAGTTAAGTTACCAGTAACCTCCTCTATCGATGACCCGAAAATAATTTTTACGCCTCTTTAGGGGCGTGCCACGCCCCTACTGGGCGTAAACACCTCATTTTTCGCCAGTTCTTAGAACGAGCAACCGGTAACCTAAATGCAAAATTTAAATTCTTACGCTCAAGAAATGTGAAAATTACAGTCAGAGAGAAAATGACAGACGGACGGACAGCAAGACGGACATTGCACAAAACCAATATACTCATTCTCTTTCGTGAATGAGGATAACAAGTAAGAAGTTGCAGTCGGGCGATACCGATTGCAGAATACTCATTCACAGAGTAAACACCTGTCAACCAGAGTAAATAGTGCAATTTTCAAGTCTAGTGCGCAACAAAACACAGGGCATGATTCCATTAAAATTGGAAAATCATTGATAGCTATTGCTATCATCCCTGCATCATTGCAGCTAGGATCTTCAAATGACATATATCATCTATACAATTCTGATTATACCCTGAACCCATTGTAAATGGGAAATCAGGGTATAATGGTTTTGTGAAAAAGTATGTAACGGGAGAAGAAGGAGGCGTGGCAGACCCCACAAAGTATATATATGTATATATTCTTGATCAGCGTGACGAGCTGAGTCGATATAGCCCTGTCCGTCTGTCCGTCTGTCCGTCCGTCCGTCCTTATGAGTGCGTCGATCTCAGAAGTTATAAGAGCTAGAGAGCTGAAACTTGGCATGCGTACTCGTGTGTACCATACGCAGTACGAGTTTGCTTTATTTTTTCGATAAATCATCCGATAACTTTTTTATCGAGAATAATCGAAAAAATGATTTTGTTTTTTTAGCCTAATTTGAACACTTTTAGACCTGGAGTCTTTAAATTTGCGTTGTATATAAAGTTAATGGATACAAAGATTTTGTAATTTACAGATTTTGGATACCACGCCCCCTTTTCCCCCAATTTGTAAAAAACGCATTTCAAGTACTAGAGACTTGTGCTTTGGAATGTGAACACATATTCATCATATGATTACGCTCTAAAAGTTTTATTAAGATCGTATGTCTACAAGAGAAATTATTCAACAAATAAATTCTCATAATATTGCCCACACTGCAGCGCAGCCCAAGCGCTGTCGCTGCTTACTGCGCAGTTAGCAGAGCGCAGGCTTATGCGTGCGTGTGGATGCATGTGTATGTATGTGTGCATAAAAGAAGTGCAGAAGTGCTTAGAGGGTTCAGGGTATCTCCTAGTTGAGTAGTCTCGACTGGAGCCTTCTTACTTGTTTTTATTATATATTTATATCCATATATTGGATACCGGCTTCAAGCTAGCAGTAAATCAGCGCGATTTTCCTATACATGTGTACACACTCATCGCCTATTTTATGCGTACAGACAGAAGCGCGCCTTTTTGCACATTCTTAGAATTTCGATTGATTTCTGGATTTTTTATCCGTTATTTTAGTTTTGTCTGATGACGCTCTGTTATTTAGCTATTCTATTTTAGCAACTGGCTGATCAAGCAAAGCAGTAGCTCGGGTACTAAATGCGACGCTAGTTATGTTAGAGTAGAGGATGTTCGAAACCTCTTCGATGTTATTATTAATATTTTTTTCATACATATTTCGTTGCTACGCCCCTAGTAGGCGTTGATATATAATTTATCTATATTTATAGAATCGAAACATCAGCTTACGTGCAAAATTTCAGCATTCTAGATTTACAACTTTAAGAGATACAGTTTTATCCGATTTGACCTGCCCCCAATGGGCGGAGATATATCCACCATAGCTCGTGATCTTGGGTGGTCGACGCGAACCTACATACCAAATTTCAGCTTTCTATCTCTTTAACTAACATGATTTCTGGTATATCGGAAAATACATTTTCCGATTTGCCACGCCCCTAGTGGGCGGATCGGGAAAATTTTAACACTTTATAAGTCTGAGACAAACAAATATAAAAATACACATAATAGTTTATTCATTCACGTATTGATCAAATGTGCATGAATAATTGTTTAACATGAGAGCAGGACCGAAAACTGTCACTGTTATCAAGCCTACTGGGTAAATTCTCAATGAAAATTTGACACCTCCGTTGCCAAACCGAAAATGAATGCCAAAGTAAAGTGCACACTAATAACTGTAAATTTGCGAAATATTTTGTCTATTATGTTTTGTCAGTTCTTTCATCTGAAACCAAATGCCAGAAGCCAACGATTTTTGCAGCGGTTATGCCGCATTTTGACAAGAATGTAATACTAAGAAAAAAAAGTTTAAACTAAATAAAGGTTTGGTCAGTTCGAGGACCGGAATCCACTAAATTTTGCAAAAAAAAAAATCAGGACATCTCTTATCAAGGGAAAGTGTACTCAGAAATTGCCTCTTCTTTGATTTTCTTTACCTAATTGTTATTTTGTGTTTGAATAGACTCTAGAAGTAGTCTTTGGTATCTAATTATGGATTTATTGGGGACCAGATCAAAGGAGGAGTACTAATATCCTTAACAAAGCTAAATATCACAGGAGCTATCATGGCAAATAGCATTTCCTGCTACTGGAAAAAATTTGCTGTCCCCTAAGGCCTGCAAAGGTCATATTTGATGCTTGGCAATTAGAGTTGTGAAGATTTAAGGGTCATTATACTTTTTAAACATATTTATTAGATACAACAAAGCTTGACGACAATCGATATTTATTTGCAGTGCGTTTTATAGCCGTGCTAGGGCTAAAATTTGCGGCCATTGAAGGTGTGGTATTTATGCTCAAATATCCTTGGATTTGCTGATATGTTTAGGTGCTTTTTCAGTTGAGTAGCCGACTTAAAAAGATCCTTTTTACTCTCGCGAATGAGTCGAGTGACATGATTTTGGGTCAGAACTCAGCGCCATCCGCGCTTTTCATCAATTTTTTAATGGATTAATGCATTGTGGATCATTTTATTTGGAAAACTCATCAAACGACCGAATTTTCTGTGAGAATTTCGAGCCGAAATCAACTTTTAATGAGATGGTGGTGTATGCTTTTTACAAATTCTTTTAATTTTTTTATCAAAATAGATATATAAACAAGAAATCTCATTAATATGTGTTTTTGAAGATATGCAACTCTGCGAAAAATACAGGTTATCATGTAAAGTTATAATGTAAAGCTTTATAACTCCAAGGTTACATTCGATACAGAAGCTTAAAATCTATCACTCGAAGCTTTGTTTCCACAAAGTTATTCTCAGCTGATAGGACAAACATTAAATCTCCCTGTGGTTATCACTCGAAGCTTTGTTCCCACAAAGCTATTCTCAGCTGATAGCACAGCATGGCGTTGACTATGTTGTCCGCTCTGATGGAGTGGCCCAATGCCTCTTCTAGACGACGCCTCTCCTCCAGGAACCGTCCACATACGAAAAGGATGTGGTTGGCGTCTTCCACATGCCCTCGCTCGCACCAGGGGCACTCGTCAGTTTCCTCGTGACCAAAGCGCTTCAAATAGCTCCGAAAGCATCCATGGCCCGAGAGGATCTGCGAAAGATAGAAGTTAACCTCGCCGTGTTTGCGGTTAACCCATGGTTCGAGCTCCGGGATGAGCTTGTGCGTCCACCGCCCTTTCGTTGAGCTATTCCACTTCCTTTGCCATCGGGCAATGCTGTTCGCCTTGATAGCGTTGTGTCGCACAGGCGCGTACGAATTCCGTTCCACGGCTTCGGCGACCAGGTACTCCAGGGGCACCATGCC